ACCCCCCCATGCCCACTAGTGGGGTCTCAGGCAAGGGGCAGCCCAGGGACCCACGCTACCCTGCCCCACACCCACTACAGGAGCAGCCCAGAGACTCCCCCACTCCAACTAGTAAGGTTAAGAGCACACCCAGATGGGGGGGAGCTCAGGGACCCACTCCAACCCCCCTGCCCCCATGGGGGCACAGCAGCCCCCACCCTGAGGGAGCCACAGCTGGGCGGAGCTAATCCCCCCTCACAACTCTCTCCTCCAATCAGCCGTCGAGTTTCTCCCTTCCCACCCCCCTGCAGCTCGGGGCGGGAGACCCCGCAGCACGCAACTCCCCCCTCAGAGGAGGGTGGAGGGGCGAGGGTGGAGGGGTGTAGCGCTGCCGCCGCCGCTCGCTCTCCGGGCAGGGCGGTTACCTGAGACCCACGCGCCGACCAGGAGCCACAACAGAGTCCGCAGAGCCGGCTGGGGTCGCCGGGTCTCCATCCCCGCCTCCCTCAAGCAACACGGAGCCGGCGGCCGGGTTGATTCGCCCGCGTCGGGCTCTCGCCGGTGGGGGAGGGGGGGCGCTGCCCGCTTGACTCGGTTGCGTCCGACTCCCGATTGATTCGCCCGCCCGCTCCGCGCGTCTGTCTCCAGCTCAGGTGCTGCAGCCTCGCCCAAGGGGCGGGACGTACCAATTCCTCACGGGAGTTGGGGGGGGGGAAGAAGAGAAATACTTCCCTCTTGCTCAGCAGCCCCTCAGGCGTGGGCTGTCAACTCTGACTCCATCGTGTCTTTGAATCAGGGGCTTCCCCCCTTCCCCTTTAAAGCTGGGGTTTAAAATAAACAAACACCTCACCTGTCTCCCTGACCCCCCCCGGGGTTGAAAATGGTCCGGCCCAGGTACCCATAGGCGGGTACTTGGGGCAAACCAATTTGTAGGTTGGAAATTGCGAGAGAACTTGGTTGGTTTGCCCTCCCCCCTATGCCAATGAATTGGCCCAGGGACACACCCTAGACTAAGTTGTGGGAGAAACCAAAGTAACTTTAAAAAGGGGGAAGGATGAATTTAACATTCCCCCCTTTATGAAAATGGACTGGCCCAGGGGCACACCCTAGAGAAAGGAGTGGGATAAACCAAAGTAACTTTTTAAAGGAGTTGGGAGGAGGGAAGTTCTGACTCACAATAAATATAGCACCCCTCACATAATTGGGAAATGGACTGTCCCAGGTGCAGCCAGGCATAGTGTGTGTGTTGTTTCTCTTGCTTACAAGGCCAGTAGCACTGGGATCAAAGTGGAGTTTTACCATTGGCCTCAGGCCTAAAGCCATCTTGATCTAACAGACACCGTCCAACAAGGTTTAAAGACTTTTAAAGGAAGGAAACAAAATTGGGAGTGAAAAGTTTTAGAAACTTTTTTGGAGGGGGAAGCGGAAACTTTCAAAACTTTTTCCCCTTCCAAAAAAGTTTCTGAAACTTTTTCCACTGCCAACAAATGATTTTGAAAACTTTTTTTGCAAACAGTGTCTGAAACTTTCCGCCCTGCTCAACACAAGTTTTGAAAAAAATTTCCCTCTCCAAAAGAAAGCTTCAAACACTTTTTGCCTCTAAAAAGAGTTTCCGAAACTTTTCCTATTAAAAAAAGTTTCTGAAACTTTACTACGAGTTTTGAAAACCCTTTACCCTTCCAAGAATCTCTGAAACTTTTTCTCCTTCCACAAAAATTTCAAAAACATTTCCCCCTCCAAAAAACAGTTTCAAAATTTTTTTTCTACCTCCCAAAAAGAGTTTAAAACACTTTTCCTATGGAAAAAAAGTTTTTAAAACTTCACTCTCGGCACAATAAAAGTTTCCAAAACTTTCCCTCTTCCAATTTAAAAAAAATGTTTATTAATTATTATTTATTTTATTTAGATCGATGTAACACCTAGGTGCCCTAGTCACGGACCAGGATCCCAATGTGCTAGGTGACATACAAACACAGGACAGAAAGACAGTCCCTGTTGCAAAGAGCTTTCAATGTAAGTATAAGAGAAGTGACAACGCTCTGGCCATCCCTAGCCTTTGTTTGCCAGAATCTGGGAATGGGCGACAGGGGAGGAGGGTCTCAGGGCTTCAGTCCTGCTCCTGTTAAACATCTGCCTACTTTAAGGCTATGTCTACACTGCTGCTGTAAGGTACTCAGTGTAGCCGCTCTTTGTGACAAAATAAAACCACCCCCAACGAGGGGCGGTAGTGTTGTTGGCGGGAGAGCGTCTCCCGCCGAAAGCGCTGTACACCCCAGCACTTTACATCGGTAAAACTTATGTCGGTCAGGGAGATGTTTTTTTCACACCCCTGACTGACAAAAGTTTTATTGACAAAAGGGCTGTGTAGACATAGCCAAGTGAGTTCCCAGTGGGAGTGGAGTAATTCCGCTGCAAGCACATGCATATGTGTTTGTAGGATTGGGACCTTAGTTTTCTCTATGAAAAGTTTTTGAAAACTTTACTCCCCTCAATAAAATGGTTCCCAAAAACTTTCCCAAGGATTCTCAAAACCATTGGCCTCAGGGAGCTGAGAATCCAGCTCTCCCTGGGGCTCCCCAGCTGGCCCCTGCTGAGCTAGGGCAATTATGACCTCACTCTCAGACGGATGACATCACAATGAGGTCAGCAAGCCGTTGCCTCCTGCTCCAGCCTCTGGGCACACCCCAGCCAGCCATGTGCCCCCGAGCAGTGGCCCTCAGCTTTCTCTTTGCCTTGATCTCTGCTGTGGCCAATGGCGACCCATCCCAAGGTGTCTCCCTGCCAGAGCCCTGCCTCCCGGGCCGCCCATGCACCCTGGCCTTGATCTCAGACAACCCTGTGACCCTGAGGTGCCCAGGCGCCCCCCACCAGGGCCCGGTCTCTTGGCAGTATGTGGATCCCTCCCGGCCCGGGGAGCGGCCAGCCACCTTCATCCGCACCGGGCACCCCTTGGCGCTCATCCCCACTCGCGCCAAGCTGTGGCAGCTGCGCTTGAAAACCCGGCTGCTCCGGGGCGACCTGCGGATTCTGGATCCCGGTGTGGAGGACTCGGGCATCTACACCTGCCGCCGTGGCGACACCATGCTGGCCTACTACGAGGTGGATTTCCAGGATGCCGGGCGCCTCCACATCAGCCACGCCAGCCTGGGAGAGGCCGCCCTGGCTAACACCACCGTGGAGCTGGCCGGCGGGGCCCGGGGGCAGCTGTTCACCACGTGGGCGCGCTGGCAGCCCTGCGACCGCTGCGGCGGCCCCGGCGAGAGGAAGCGGGTGGGATTCTGCTACGCCCGGCTGGCATCGCGCCCCCAGGGGCCCCTGCCATGCGGGCTGGCTGGGCGAGGGCTGCCCCAGCGGGGGCCGGAGCTGCGGGTGGAGAGCTGTGAGGTGCCATGTGACAGGGCCTACACCCCCAGCCGGGATGAATGGGGCAAGGCCCCCATCCTTGTCATCACCCGCTACCGAGCCCTGCCCCACGCCAGCGCCAGGCTGAGGTGCCCAACAGCCTCTATATACAGGTACAAGGAGCCATGCCATGCTGGGGAGACCCAGGGGCCCATGCAGCTATGTATCCCCACCCTCCATCCCCGGATCAGACCCATGGGCCCATCTACCCTGGTATCAGGTCCCCTCCTTGCTACCCCAGGTCAGAGCCATGGTCCCACCTCAGCTGGTATTCCCACCCCATCCCAGATCAGACCCATGGTCCCACCTCAGCTGGTATTCCCACCCCACCCCAGATCAGACCCATGGGCGGCCTATCTAGAGCAATATCCCCCCCCCCATCCTAAAAATCTGTCCCCTAGCCAGGAGCTCAGGTCTGTTGCAGAATCCGGCCCTAATGTACGGGGATAAATCCAGGCTCCTTGGTGGGGTGAAGCTGGAGGGGCCCCCGGGAGGGAACGGGGGTAGATTGGAAGGAGTCAGAAGGAACTTGGGCCCAGCTTGTTTGCATTGAGCTGGTTCCTGTGTGGGTGTTGGGAACGGGAGCCGGGTTAATAATTTACCACCGCACTGAACTTTCACCCTGGTCGAAACTGAGCTGTGGGATCAGGAGACAGTGCCTGGAACAAAGAAGTCCCAGCCCGGCATTAGGGGGTGCTGTGCCACAGGGAGAAGGGTATGGGGCACTCTCCCCTGGCAGTCAGGGCTGCCCCAATGCCTCAGCATGGCACTAGGGGGCGCTGTGCCACAGGGAGCAGGGTGAGGGCCCTCCCCAGGCAGTCAGGGCTGGCCCCGATGCCCCAGCATAGCCTTAGGGAGCGCAGTGCTGCAGAGGGTGGGGTGGGGGCGCTCTCCCCTCGTAATCAGTGCTGATGTCAATGCCATCTTTACCAAAGTGTAACATCAAGTCCCGGACCGTGTATGGTCTTTTAAAACCCCAGCACACTTTAATACAAGAGATACTGGCTATGAAACCAGGCGTCTTGGCTCCAAATGAGTCTAGCTCCTGCTCAGGGGATACAAATTCCACCTCTGGGGGCTTCTGACCCATCCACTAACTTCATCCCAAATCCCGACAGGAAGATCACACCTCGTTAATTCATTCCCCATGCGCTATTTTCTGGTAGCATCAAGTGGTGCCAGCTCTCATGATTTTACTGTGACTCATGATTTTCCTAAAGCCCTCAACTGCTGGAATCATGTTAGTTCTAGAGCCTCTCAGCTTTCACGGAAAAAACATGACTAGTCTTCATGGCTACAGAGAAAACCTTGGAAATGTGACTCCTCCCACCTCCAACATCAGAGGGCCAACTAAAACCAACCTGACACTGATCATTTCTTTAACCTTATGATTTTTGGAAGCTGCTCTCACAGTTTTTTAGCCAGCCTCAGACATTTTTTAAAGCCAATCTCACCATTTTTTAAACCAAACAAAGAGTTTTTGAAGCTGATCTCACCATTTTTAAGGCAATCTCGCAATTTTTCGACAGAACACCTCATTAAAAGTGAATGCCAGGTCGCCCTCTTGTGGCTGATGCTTTGGAGAATAACCTACTACTGCTATCAGCTAACCATGCTTCTCCTGTAGCTCAAGCAGTAGGGTTCAAATCATTCATGAGGCCTGTTTTGGTGGCATCCCCGCTCCAGCCCTGCCTAGCTGTGTATGTTCATAACACATCAGTGCAGATGAGTTTAGCTACCGGCTGCAGACGTCTCACTGGCAAATCTGATCCCACTCTAGCCCCAGCCTGTGCTTAAGGCTCTGGTGGGGTTGGCATTTGCTGTTGTGGGGATGGTAATATCTTGTGGGCCAGACACATCTCAGACGCTGACTCTGAAATTTTTGCTGCCTGTTAATTCCAGAGATAAGCACAGAGGGAGGGAGAGATTCCCGCCATCCTAGTCCCGGCCACCTGGACCAATTTAGCCCCCCCACCCCAGACACCCCCACCCCCAGGGTCTCCCTCTAAGGGAGATCATGCTCCATGGATAGCCAGCCTTCGGCCTCTGGTGATGAGAGCAAGGGGGCTGGTTAGTGCCAGCTGAAATGAACAGAGACCGGGTGAACTCATTCCAGCCAGAACCCCTTAGAGGGGTCCCATTCCCCGCCCCTTGAGCCAGCCAGTTCCCCGCTCTGGGGCTGGAGCAGAGCTGGTGCCCCCCAGAAGGGTAATGCTTTACTCTCAGCCCCCCAGCTCTAACCTCTAGACCCCACTCCCCTCCCAGAGCTGGGGAGAGAACCCAGGAGTCCTGGCACCCAGTGAGCATGTGCAAGGCCCACGCCCGGCTCTGCTAACCTCTCTCTGTCTGCTCCCAGCCCCGTGTACTGGCAGGAAGGCCCCACCGCCCTGACCTGGCTGGACCTTCATCAACGCAACGGCTCCATCGGCCTGGACAAGGCGACCGGCGGCGGGACCCTGCTGCTTTCCTCCTGGAACAGCACCTATGCCGGCTATTACCAGTGCTACGTGGGCGGCCGGCTGGTGGGCCGGTTCCTGGTCACCCCACCTAGGGTGCTGGCCCCCGCCCCGGAGCTGACCCGCGCCTACTCGGCCATCGAGTCCCTGGTGGTGGGGCTGGCCATCTTCCTCATCTTCCTCCTCTTCCTCAGCATCCTGCAATCCTGCCGCAGGAAGCCAGGAGCCATCATGGCTTGAGGGGGCTGCAGCTGACATCGGCTCAAGGGGCTGGGGAATAAACATGTTGACCAGCAGCTTGGCTAGGTGTGCACTAGGGGGCGCTGTGCTGCAGGGAGCGGGACGGGGTGGGGGTGCTCTCCCCTGGCAATCAGGGCTGTCCCCAATGCCCTAGGGGGTGCTATGCTGCAGGGAGCGGGACAGGATGGGGGTGCTTGCCCCTGGCAGTCAGGGCTGGCCCCAATGCCTGGACATAACGCTAGGGGGCGCTGTGCTGCAGGAGTTTGCAGCCCTGATTTTATTTGCATGCCAAGCCTAGGTGCCTACCCCAGTCAGCAGAGGGCGCTAAAAAGCCAGTGTTCAGATACAGATGCCCCAGCCACCTTTAAAGTGCCACCACGAGGTAGGCCCCCCACCTGGCCAGTAGGGGTCACTGTTCCCAGAGACTTACCAGCCTCTCCTTGCACCATGGGCACAGCATGATGGTGTGGGATTGTCTGCAGTCAGCTCCCTGCCTCTGTTCCTCTCCGTAGGCCAGTTATCAGCTGTGTAACCCACTCTGCGCTGGATCAAAGCAATGGGCCCATCTACCCCGGTATCCCTCCTCGCCACGCTGCCCCACGGCGAGAGGTCCATTTAGCCCAGGCCTTGGTTAAGGAGCAGAACTAGGAATAGAACCCAGGAGGCTTGGCTCCCAGCCACCCTCCCCCTGCTTCTATCCACTAAACCCTACTCTTCTCACAGATCTGGGGCTACAGTCCAGGAGTCCTGACTCACCGCCTTCCTGGCTCCCACCACTAGACCCCACTCCCCTCCCAGACCTTCGGACAACCCAGGAGTCCTGGTTTCCAGCCCCACATCCTCTAACCACTAGACGCCACTCTCCTCACAGAGCTGGGAATAGAACCCAGGAGTCCTGACTCCTCCCCTCCCCCCGCTCTCTCCCATGTCCTGCTGCCTTGTGTTTACAAGGGGAGAAGGAGGAGAACGGCTGCAGGTATCCAGATGGGTCCGGCCAGCCCACTCTGGGGTGAGTTAATTACCCGCCCTGCTGCCCGGAACAATTATCCAATTCTCTGCTCCCAACTGCGAGGCGTCGGTGGCCGGTGATCCTGTTCCTTGCTGTCTTTGTCTGCGTGATGAATCAGTCACACTGCTCTGCAGGATCGCCGTGACTCATGGGCGCTCACAAGCACGGCCTTTGTGTGCCCGTCCAGCGGGACGGGACGCTCCGTGACTGCCACCAGCTTTCTCGCCCCGCGCCAGGGGCCAGCCAACCGAGGGGTCTTCAGATATGGCCACTTCTCTGACTGCCTGAACCCAGCCCTGGGCGGGCCCCAGGAACGTGCGTGCGTGACTCAAGATCGGAGCTTTGCACGGGGCACCCGCAGGGCGTGGCACCTCAAACGTTTGAGAGACGCGTGCCAGGATGCAGCAGGGACTGACTCTCCTGGGTTAGCTACCAGGCCTCTGAGAAGCTGTTCGCTAGAGGTCAAACAAACCACGAAGGAAGGTTTCTGGGCTGCTGGCATGACGGCTGCCACACAAGTTCGTCTCGAAATCCTTGGCTTCACGCTGGCCCGGGCGTGGAGGTGGTCGGCTCCGAGGCTCAGGGGAATGCAGAGCGGGCTTTAGGAGAGGGGACTGACTGAAAGAGATTGGCTGGCTTAGCCCACCAAATGTTTCGAGGGTGAGCAGCAGCAAGGGGGAAGAGCTATTGAATTGACATCTAGAAATCAGCTCGACCCAGCGCGAGTTAGTTAGGTCAAGCCCCAGTGTAGATGCAGCTAGGTCAGCGGTGGAATTCTTCTGTCCATCTAGCTACCGCCGCTCCGAGAGGTGGGTTAATGACAGAGACTAGTACCTACATTACTCCACTGGCTGCCATGTAGCACTTGCCCTGGGCTCTGGTGCACGCAGGCGGATTTAAACCACAGGCAAGCAGAGGGTTACTCCAGGCACAGACATATGCTGTGCTAGGGCACGCTGGATCGGGCACGTGTTGCATTGGTGCCGGCAGGCTGGGTGCACCTCGCCGCCCGTCCCATCTGGCATCAGGTGATTCGTGCCTCAGTTTCCACTTCAGCTCCGGGGCCAGCCACAGATGTGGATCAGCAAACTGCAATGTGATGAGACCGGCCCCCTTCCTGACTGTCTTTTTTTGTTCTGTGTTTGTACAGCGCCTAGCGCGACCGGCCCCGGGCCATGAATGGAGGGCCTAGGCACTACCGTAATACACCTAATAAATTGCACTATTAATGTACAGCAGGGAGTTTTGGTCCCTGACTGGGGCACCTACATGCTACTGTAATGCACCTAATAAATAGTACTAATAATGTACACCACCTAGCACAATGGAGCCATGGGCCATGCCTAAGGCTGTTTACTGCTCCTGTAATGCACCTAATAAATGATAACGTACAGCTCCTAGCACAGTGGGGTTGTGGTCCAGGACTGGTGCTTTCAGGCGTGATGACAGTACAAATAATCACAATAACAGCGACATAATGGTCCTGCAGCAATCTCCCTCTTATGGGGCAGCTCCATCCCTGGAGCTCTTTGCATGATCCTCTGTGAACCTCTTCAGGGCTGACTAGTCCTTTTGATCCATCCAGGACACCACCTTGTCCTTCCATGAGCATCTTCTGCCACCGATGGTCCCTTCCGGACGTGGAGATTCAAAACAACAAAGCTCTCGAGCCGTTAGAACACAAGTTGTCAACATCATGTCTCCAAATATACAAAGTAAACCGCCCTAAATCAAACGGTGATAATCTCGCAAGCTGCTGTTTTCTTACTTTGCCTGTCGATAACTTTGGATTTTTGTCGATGGGAATAATTTTTCATCGGTTTGTGTGTAGAGTCACCAACCCTCCAGGATTGCCCTGGAGCCTCCAGGAGTGAAAGATTAACCTTTAATGAAAGATTATGTCGCGTGATGAAACTCCAGGAGTACATCCAACCAAAACTGGCAACCCCATTGCGTGTGTATGGTGAAATCGACATTTACCGATAAAAAGCTAATCCTTCCAAGCCTATATATAGACATAGTGTAGCAATGGGGTGAGTAAAATGGGCCAAGGACACTGTTCCTTCATGGACATCTTCCTTCCAAAAGATGCTTGTCCTTGGCCAGCCGGGCACCGTGTTCAAACACCCTGCATGGGAGATCTCTGTTTTAGAGCTGTGTACGCTGCCCCCCTGGCTATAATCGAATGCAATGATTCCTTGTACGCTTCTTATGCCATGGCAGGTCTCCCTGAATCTTTCAGGTCCCTTTTCCAGGGCGTTGCTTTATTCACACAAACAACACTGGCAACGTAGCACAGAACGTGCAGGCTGCAGGGATTCTTCGCTCAGCTCCACTGCTAGCCCAATCAATCAATCAATCAGTCACCTACCCACCTTCCTGCATCACCCCCGTCCCCCCCACCAGTCCTTCATAGAGAACACCTGATGCATCTCAGTTGGGCTGGTCAATTGCAGACCGTGCTGGCTGGCCCCAGAATCTGTGGCTCCTAAATGATCAGGCTCCCCAGTTACACTGGGCCCACGTTTTGTGAAGTTTTGCCCATCTTTATGGAGCCCACCAGAGGCGTTGTGGGCCCAACTCCACCTGCAGCGGCCGAGTCCGCCCGGCAGCGCGGCAGGGTTGGCCTTTGAGCATCGATGATCTGCGCAGGGGGCTGGCTGGGTGCGGATTGCTTGCTGGCCTTTCGCCGCCGATCCCTGGGTCGAATCCAGCCCCTGCTCGGAGCGCCCCGCGTAACGCGCTGGCCGAGGCCTCAGCCCCAGATCCCAGCAGGACACATCTGCTCCCGGGGAAAGGGCTGATGGTTGTGGACACAGAGCTTCCCATTCCCAGCCCAGGGAGCCAGTGCCCCCTAGATAAGAAAGGCCCCATACCCCATTCCCCGCCCCCCTCAGCCAGCCAGTCCCTTGCCATGGGGCTGAATCAGAGCCAGCGTCCCCTAGAGGGGAAACCGCCCCCTGCCCCATTCCCCGCAAGCCATGTCCTGGAGCTGGATGGGAACTGAGGCATATTGGCGTGGTGGCTCTTTTGGGGGGGCTGTGGGCTGTGTGTGGGGGGGCTGTATTTTAGTGTGTGTGTGTCTATTGGGGCTCTGGGGAGCGTGGGGGGACTATATGTGTGTGGTGGGGGGAGCTCCTCCTGCCTGTCTTCCCCCACCCCCCGAGATTCTGGCCCCAGCCCCCTTGCCTCCCAGATCCTACCCCAACCCCCTTTTCCTTCCTCCCCCCTGTCCCCGCCGCTCCTCCCATCAGTACATAAGCCCTGCCCCACATCTGGCCCCGAACTCCGCTACAAAGGGAGCCACTGTGCTGAGTCCTGCTCTGTCGCTTCCTCGTCGTGCCCATCTGGCTCTGGTGAGCCGGCCATCGAGGCTGGCAGACGCTGGTACCCACCCCAGGGACATAAACCCTTCCCAGATCTCGGCTGGACCCCGGAGATCGGACGCTTGGAGACAACCTGTGGATTCTGGGTAGGTGTCTCCATGGGACGAGGGGGCATCGAGGCAGCGTTAGGAGCTGGTGAAAGGAGAACCGGGGGGGTGGCCATGCTTCTGCTTCTGGGCATGGATGGGACCCCAGCTGGCAGGGTCAGGAAGTAATTTGGCACAATTAAGGATCTTAAAGGGAGCAGCTAATGCTTCTCTTTTATGAGGCCGGTGGATAGTTGCTGCACTGGGAGCCAGGATTCCTGGGTTCTATCCCTTGCTCTGAGAGGAGAGTGGGGTCTAGTGGTTAGAGCGGGGTGGGGGGAAGGGCTGGGAGCCAGGAGTCCTGGGTTCTGTTAGCCTCAGTTTCCCTTTTGGAGTAACAGCAGTGACTTCCCAGCCAGGGACTCTGGAGTTTCAGCCCAGCCGCCTTTAAACAAGAGATGCCCAGATGCGAGGTTCTGGCCCCATGTTACCCTGAAGTCCTGGCCTCTCTCCCGAGCAAGTCAGCCTCGCGGATCTTAGGTGACAGACTCAGTAGCAGGGAGGCAGGATGGGCCAGTG